CACGTGGGGTGGTTAAAAAGGGGCATGGGAGGGGGGCGGTTGTGGGTCGTGACAGGCAGCACTCAGAGCTCAGGGCCGGGCGGGTAGTGGGTGGACATATGGCGTTGAGTTAGTTTGCCAGCTAGACGTCTTTGCGTTGTGGCGATGAGTGAAATGCACAGGTGAAAAAGCTAGACAAGAGTGTGGCTTGGTGTGCAAGTGCGGCAGATGCCGTGCCGTGGCACAGAGCTAGATTGAGAAATGACACGGCTGGAGCTTAGAGAGAGCCATTAATTATGTCATCACATGATACACAAGACATTCACTCACACACACCACACAGCCGGTCAGTCAGTCACACCTGCACACATCCATCCATCCGTCCGTCCGTCTGCTTCGTCCCTCCGTCACTAAGACAGCATCCCTCCCTCCTACGAATGCAGCCCAGGCCACTACTATTCTTCCTCCATCATATCATCATCATCCCCGTGGCCCTCCCCCTCGTCAGATGCGTCGCCAACACCACTGGCCGACCCCTCGCCACCGTCACTCTCCTCTCCCTCGTTTAAGTCATCCTCACTGCTATCGTCCGACGCCTCGCTATCACTCGGCCCCGCGGGCGGCTGGAATGCGGCAGCAAGAGACTCGAAGCCCCCACCGCTGCCCACATACCCCAGCTGCTGCCATTGGAACTGGCAGTCGCTATCGCCGAGGTGGGTGTTAAAGCCCTTGACCACCCCCTCCACACCGTGCTGGGCCGCCTCGTCCAGCCGGGCCCTGTGGACCACCTCACGCACACCCAACCTGCGGCCACTCACCCCGCCTGGGACGAAACACTGCAAGGGCGGTCCCCTCTTCATCTGCCCCTGGCTGTCCCTCTTCTTGCTGCCCCTGCTGCCCACCACCTGCTGATTGCCCGCCACCTGCAGCGACGCCGCACACTGAACAAACACATCCATGGCCTTGTTGATGCGCCGGCCGAAGAGCGTCGCGTTGTGGACGGGGCGGGGCGTCTGCTCAAGTGCCGATGGGTCGACGAAAAATGACGCCACCCGCCACGCCACGCCGACATATCCCGACCGGCCAGCGGCCTGACGTCGCTATCGCCGTCTGCGGGCGACTCCGATGTGCCTTGCTCGATGGTGTTGGTGGGCTGGGGAGAGGGGGAGGGACAGGGCTGTCGGGGGAAGAGTGTGTCGAGCTGTATCTTGGTCATCTGGGGAAGGGCACACGTCAGCAGGGCCGCCAACTCGCGCTGAGGTCGCAGTGCGGCGTTGATGGCCGACATGGCAGCAATGGGCACCTCGTTGAGCACTGTGGCGTATTCGGTCAGCACCAGACGCCGACGACGGCGGTCTCGCTCAGTGGCCGTGCGGAGCCGGGCGATGTTCGCCCCCGCCTGCAGCAGCACAAGGATGGTGCTCTTGAGATGGGGAATCTCGCTGGTGGCTTCGTCCTTGTCTGCCGCCTCCGTAGTGTCGTCGTCTAGCAGCTGAGTCTGGTCATCGAGCCTCCTGGCAGCCTCCGAGAGGGGCGTGCGGCTGGGGTCATTGAACCTCCCTCTGTTGATGTCAGTGGCCGTGAGGCGACGGCATAGGGAGGCAGCCACACGGTGGGAGCCGGAGTATGCCGCACAGTGCAATGGCGTCCAGCCATCGTCGTCCACTGCCGTCATGTCCGCCCCATTGGCCACCAGCAGGTCGAGGTAGCTGTCGATGAAGGACTGGGACCACACGGGACGGGTGAAGGCCACCCAATGTACCGGATTGCCGCTATACCGTGCATCAGTCTCGGCTGCGAGGGTGGGGGCGCGATCGAGGAGCTGCTGGTAGAAGGACAGCAAAGTTGCCTCGTGGTCCTCGGTGGGTTTGTCCGTCTCCAACGTGGCTGGCAGGTCCAGCACCTCTCGCCCATGCAGCTGCAGCCCATCCTGCGTCATGAGCAGACGGAAGGCCGTCTCGTTGCAGGATGCGATGGCCACACGGACGGGCGTGGCACCCGGGCAGTCGTCCCCGTCCTCGTCGGTCGGGATGGCGTTGATGTCCGCACCTTCCTCAATCAGGCTCCGCATGACGCCCTCCTGCAGGCCGCGGGTGCGCCACAGCGGCAGAGCGACGGGAACGCGCCGATCATCGCCGTCTGCTGCCGAGATGGATGAGATGCGGTACTCGGTGAGGTTGTCAATGCACAGCGACAGCAGCGGATAGTCTTCATGGAAGGCTGTAGTGCCCTCCATCCGCAGCTGGGGCTGCACATTGGGGTCGGCTCCCTGCTGTCCAACGAGGTCCGTCGCTTGCTGGGCTCGGGCGATGTTGCGGCACAGGATGCCCTCTGACAGCTGTCTGGTCTCATTGCTGATGCCGGGAGGGACACCGGCGTCGAGTTCGTTGCCCGCCAACCACCCAGGGGGCAGATCATGGGTGCCCTCACTCATTCGCCTGCACCACCGCACAGGAAAAACACTCATTCGCATCGAAGCACCAGCCCCCCTTCGATCTCCATGTTCTTTGTGTGCATACTACCTCAGTGTCTGGCCATCTAAGTGCGCCGCATGAGGTCAACGCGGTGCGGCGCCATCGCCTCGCGTATCACTCCCGACTATCCGTCTGTGGGGATGATTCAATGGCGAAGATGAAGACGAAGCACACAAACGCTGACAAACGCGACGAGAGAGAGAGCGGTTTCACGGAATGTGGCCGGAAAGTGCGAGCTTGGCTGCAACAGATCTGCCTCTGCCTCTTCATTTCGATGCTGTTGCTTGTGGTGCCGATAGCCCTTGGCCTCCTCGGCTGGGCATCGGCGTTTCTCCCCTCCCCCTCCCACCCCGCATCATCGTCACCTCTCATCCGGCATGTGCCCGACGCCCTCGCCAGGGCGAGACCGCTGCACGCGACGGTGACGGAGATGGACCTTTCAGACAAGAAGACCTTGGGGGACGCCAAGTTCGCTGAGTACAAGGCGAGCGTGGCCGAGCCGATGACCATCGTCAACTACTGCACCAGCTGGGAGGACAACTGCAAGGCGCTGACACAGGCCATCGACAAGACCGACCTGCCCGACACGCATGTGCTGCGTCTGCCGGTCAAGAACTCTCTGCTGATAGCCAAGAGCAAGCAGGCGCGGCGGCGGCAGACTCGGATGCTCAACAACATGAAGCAGGTGCGGCACCACCAGAACGCCATAAAGATCATGCTGGAGCAGGAGATCTCCTACGGCACGGGGGACGTGCCGACCCTCCAGTTCATCAAGAAGGGGTCCGACGATGTGGTTTATGAGGTGAATGGCGCCACGGCAGCCAAGCTGCAGGCCATCTGTGAGGGCTCGGACGCGCCGGCGGAGGTCAAGGCGGTGCTGAGCAAGCTGGCGCCCGTGATTGCTGAGGAGCACCAGGCCATCCAGGAGGCCAAGCCGAAACCCAAGGACTACGGCTACGTGTATTACAATCCCAAGTTCAGGCCAGCTGTGAGATAGACAGACAGACAGACGGTCGTGGGGGCCGTCATGTTACTACTGTTGGTCTGTCAATGAAGCTGACTGACTGGGTGGATGAGTGGTGGGTGGGTGGGCGTGGCTGTGGGTGCCACTGGATGATCGATCTGTCTCTTGTGACACTGATAGACTGGTGTGTCTGTGTCTGTCTGTGGGAGTGAACGATAGGGCGCCAGTGCGTGTCCATGGGGATTCAGCTTCTTTCCCAGGGCAGCCAGTGACGGCCGACAAGGACCCCTCAGAGAGGCATGGACGGCTCATGTCTGACTGACCCCTCTCATGCAACTCAGTTGTATTGATGCGGCCGTGAATGAACCAAGTTCAGTCATCATAAGTGCCTGCCTGCCTGTCAACATCACACTCATATCACAGCAGACCCCGGAGCCACACACTCACACACAAATAAACGTACAGAGCAGCCACATGGAGCACGGCAGCAGAAAAGAAATCAGTACATCCTGACATCGACGTTGAATCTCTCTCTCGCCACATTCACCAGACGCGCCGTCATCCGCTCCGCCTGTTGATGGAGGGAGGGGGAGCTCTTGGAGTGCAGCAACGCCTGTTGATGCGACGGAGACACCAGCATGTTCCCCCTCATGCTCATCCGCGGCAGGGGCGTCTGCGCCACCTGCAGGCGCTGCGGCAGGTCCTTCGCAGCCATGGGCGTCTTGAGGCCGCGGCTGAAGGCATTCATGCGGACTAGAGAGGTCATGTCGTCGTTTGTCACTTCTGGCAGGAGGCTCCGTGGCTTGTTGGCGGTGGGCTCGGGAGACACAGTGCTGGAGATGGAAAGCCGACCCCCCATGTACTCCTGCAGGTATGTGTCCGGGTGCTCGTCGTATGCTGGAGACGGCGACGTCCGCATGTTGACGGATGACGCCCCTGACGCGCATGACGGCGTCCTGCTCCGGCCGACCTTCCCGCCCGTCAGGCCTGTCGTCTGGACAGTCAGCTCGTTTCTGGCCGTCCCGCGGCTCTTGAAGCTGCCGGTGTTCCCGCCGCTAAGTGCCAGGTTGCGTGAGGTGCTCTTGTGAATGAGCCCCCTTGCGCTGCCGCTGGAACTGGCATTGGAAGATCGGTCGTTCATGGGGCTGGCGAGCGATCCTGTGCTCTGTTGCCGCATCGTGACCTGGCTGCTGCGCCTTCGGGAGCTGGCGCCAAGGGCCGATATGCGGGACGGCCGTGAGGCAGTGGAGGACTGGGGTTGGACGGAGGCGGAGAGCCGCTGTTTGTGTGTGGGGTTGTGGAGGGCGAAGGCGCTCGGTCTGTTCATCATTGCCGACCTTTTCTTGTCTTTCTTCGCCTTTGTCGAGGCTGTAACGGAATGAGACACGCACAGTCATGTCATCTTGATGCGCCACGCCATGGATGGATGGATGTGTGAGTGCGCTGAGCTGACCAGGCCGCTTGATGACCGGTGTTTTTTGTTCTACTTTGGCTTCATCGACAGACTCGAGGAAGGGCCGCGCCCTCTCCACCACCTCGGTGGCCAACCCATGGACCGCACGACGCAGCGTCACCAGCCGACCCACTGCACGCCTGTATGGCATGGCATGGGTGGGGCAAGAGAAGACACAAACACACACATGTCGGCTCTTGGCTGACTGCCTGCCGGACTGACTGACTTGAATATGGCGGTGTGTTTGGCCGACGTGTCCACCAGACCGTATTCGGCACACAGTGCGCTCGCCTTCGCTGCGAATGTGAGCTGGGCTTTCAGCACTGCAGGCGGTGGCCACACAGCGGGGAAGGGACGGTCTGGGCCGCCGACACGCAGCGACCAAGACGCCCACAGCGCCCCACTGGCAGACCAATGCTGACGGTGGACCACAAAGACACAGACAAGCGCAAGAAGATGTCGATGGACCGGCACAGTCTTACTTTAAGTTCTTGGTTTTCGTCCGCCGAAATGAAGCCTGGCGGACCTTTGGTCTCGGAGATCGACACTACCGGAGAGCTGTGAGCTTTGAAGGAGAGCAGCAGATGGACAGTGCCCCGCGTTTCATGATGCGGGTCCTCAGGCTCGTCTGCGAGAGCCTCCAGCACCTCGCTGGTCTCCATTTTCATCAGCACCTGGGTGGCCGCCCGCTGTATCTTGGGTTTCTTCTGCACCACCACACTCACGGTCTTCTTCCGGACACCCCCGACTGAGCTCTGCTTCCTGGATGCCCCGCCCTGCCGACTGCCCTGAGGGATGAAGCTCGGCATTCGCGATGAACCTCGGTTGGATGGGCTGCGGTTGGTGGGGCTGCCCAAGGGGGAGGAAGACGCGTTGGCGCCAGCGTTGAGGGCGCGGCGCTTCCTACGGGCCTCACGGGCATTCTGATGACATAAACACGCACATACATGGTGGTAAAAAGGAGACACAAGGATGGTTGGCTGCTGTGTCGCTGTGTCTGCAGGATGGTTTACTTACCTTTTGTTGCCTGGCGTGTTCGATCGACTCGGCGATGTCGATGACGTGGATGTAGCCGTACCTGTCTCCCACATACAGCATATCGTCAGCCACCACGTCCACATTGAACCAGCTGTCGACCATGTCGCACTCGACTGTCGGCGCGCTTGCTCCAATGGCACCGAAGCTCTCCCAGAGAGACGACTGGGCCCCATCCTGCGTGCCGCTCACCAGTGACTTGGAGGAATCGATGGCCTCGGGCGGTTCCAGCACGGCGAGCGACACCATGCGTGACCCCTTGGTCTCTTCGCTCTTCTTCAGAATCGACACGGTGGAAGGCACCGGGCTCTTCTGGGATGCTTCCACAGAGCCCATCGGCTTCGGCACGGGGAGGGTGTCAGGGGCCTTGGGAGGGGAGGGGGTGAGGCCGAAGCCAATCGAGGGTCTTCTGTCTCTCGCGGTTGGGAGAATGGGCGAGGCAACCGTCGACCCCCTCCTGGACGAGTCCCGCCTTCCCCTCCCCGGTGTCTTGATCGGTGAGAGGATCGACGTGCGTCCGCTGGGCTGGACACTGAAGGTGGTGGCCTCGTGCCGATGCTTGCCCCACAGATGGACGAAGAGAAACCTGGCGTCATCCTTCTTCTTGCTTACCCCAGGTATGAGCGACGATCCCATGCCGCTCGCCCCCCTCTCCCCTCCGGGCTGTCGCCGCCTCGCCCGCACCAGATGCCCCATGCTCAACAGATCGTCTTGCTCCACAGACAGGTCATCGTGGACAGAAATCTTGGGCACTTGTGGGGCCGTGACAGGGGTGGTGTCCTTGTCTCTCTTCTTTGGAGAGCGTGTCAGGAGCGGCGATGAGGCCAGGTGCGTGAGGAAGGGGGAGTCGGGCGACGAGGAGGTCGACATGGACTCGCGCCTCTTGCTGTCGCCGCCGCCGCACGTGTGGATGCGATGCTCACATGCGCTGCAAGTCGCAGCGAGATTGATGTATCAGGCGGTCATCTGAATGGGAAGGTCTCTCTTACACGGAGGGCAGGGCGAGGAAGGTGGCTTTCGAAAATGACAGGTACGCGGTGCACTCGATGGTCTCCTCCCTCGGCGCGTCCTTGAGCGGAGGGCTGCTGTTGTAAAAGGGATTCATCAGACCACCGGCAGTCAGCAAGACTGTGTACGACTCGAGCTGAGACACACACACACACACACACACCAAGAAATGCAAGTGGAGGTGCTCCCCTGCGTGTGTGCTTCTCCGCTCACTTTGTCTTGTTGATTGATGGACGTCTGCCAGAATGTGAATGTGCCTTGGACGTCGATGGCATAAACAATGTCCCTGCCGCTGAAACCCACGTGCTGCAACTGAACGTGGGAAAACAAGGATACTGTGCGGTTTTAGTTGGGTTGCTGTCATTCTCTGTGGTGGTCAGTCACCTCTGCCGTCCGTTGCAACAGTGTCCCGCACAGCCGCCAGCGAGCCATGGAATACAGCTGCCAGGATGCCAAGGACACACTCACTGTACAGGTGCTGCACGTGCAGCACATGTCTGCCTATGCGTGGCGTGCTTACGAGCACACTGCCATCCGAGTCGCCGGCAGCCATGCAGTCCCTCGTCAGTGAGAATGCGAGACACGTGAAGGCCGCCCCTGTGGGGTGGGCAAAGCTCCTGTCGCAGCCCAGCCTGTATCCCACGCGAGCAGCTCGCTCGTCCTCTTCCGCCTCATCCTCATCCGAGGGGCCCTGGTCCTGCTCGTCCTCGTCTTCTTCGTTATGCCCTTCTTTGTCTCTGTGTTGGTCCTCGGAACTGCTGTCGCTGCTGTTAGAGCCGTGGTCGCTGCCCTTGCCCACCTGATGAGTTGCGGCTTCAGTGAGGAAAGTGGGCGGGTGTGGGCTGATGGAGACACGGCGAGAAACTGGCTTCTCCTCTGCCTCTGCTGCAGGAGCAGCAGCAGGGACCGCAGGAGCAGAAGGAACAGCCCTGGCGGCCAGGATGTCCCCCTTGTCCGTCTTGACTTGATGGTGCTTGGGCCGGTCCTGCTGTCTCATGACGCCGCATGCTGACGTCGGTTTGTCTTCCGTCCACTCGAGCACATGCAGCCAGCCTTCGCTAGTAGCCACCAAGATGACGTTTTTCTCCTCACATGTCATGACGCGAGTGACCTGGGAACTCCTTTGAAATGGGAACTGCACAAACCGGGAGCTGGCCATGTTGGGGCGGTTGCCCAGCGGCGTGCTGGCGGCCGTGTTGCCAGACATGACTGCTTTCGTCCCTGCCTTCTTCTTGGCTGCCGGTGCGGGTGATGTGGCAGCCAGGCGGGCATCGGTGGCCGCTGTGTCGTCCGCGTCTCCCTTGTTGGCCGCAGGCTCAGGCGACGATTCCCCCTCAAGTTGTTTGGCGGCCGCCGTTATGAAGTCAGCTTCATTGTCGCCCTCCAACTGCATCGTCTTGTCTGCGTTTGAATTCAGCCTCGTGAGCGAGAAGGGCGTCTTGGACGTCTTGGATCGCTGTGGCTTGCGTTGCTGTCCGAAGCCGACAGCCGGGTCGACAGAGGCGGACCGCGACACAGCACGCGTGGTCGGCTCTGAAGGTCCGACGCTCACAGGCAGCTGCTGGCCGGCGATGCTTGACCTCCTTCTCTTCATCTCTTGGTCTCGTTTCTTCTCGCTCTCTCTGGCTTTGCGTCTGCGTGAGTCCTCGATCGACGATGAGTGCTGGGCGGGGGCCTGTGTGGGGGAGGGTGGCGGGGCGGCGGGGCTGGTGTCCTCATCCAGAAGAGTCCGCGCAGGGATCCGGGCGATCTCAAAGCCACTGCGGTACTTGCAGAATCGGAGATTGCCCTGAACACAAACACAGAGAGAGAAAAATGTAATCGCTTGTGTCGTGATTCTTGTCTCACTAGATGACCCTTCTATGGCCGATGATGATTAGGTTGTGCTTCTCGTCGACGGCGACACATGTGACGAAGTCCTACCAGCAAGTCGCGCCGCACGATGAATGCATATTGTCCCATGTGCGATTTGGTTACATTGATGCTGTTGTTTGGCAGTGTCCAGAGTATCCTTGCTGCTCCCCTGCTGCGGTTGTACACACGGTGCTCGAGAGATGTCATCGATGCAACCATACCTGTCCTAACCTCACACATACACACACAACTAGTAAACACATGCACACACAACCTGCAACCGCACATACCTGGAGTTGAGTAGCCCCGTCAGCCAGGTCTTGGGGTTGTGAAAGACGTGCTCAGATGTGCCACGCAAACGCTACAAGGACAAGTATGCTCACATTATGCAGCATCTCACTCTGTGTCCGTGTGCTTGCTGTGCAGGAGTGACTCCTGTCTTTACCTGTGTCATCTCTCGAATCTGCTCCTGGTGTGCCGTCTCTGCGTTGTACCTCTCCTTGGGCACCTGCACTCTGGGCGTCGCCGCGCCCTCCCCCTCCGCCTTGTCCTTCCTGTCTTCCTGCTGCTGTCGCTTGCTCATGCCCTCATCGTCTTCCTTTGCCAAGTCATCCGGCCGCTTCAGCAGCTTGGCGAAATCCGCATTGCACTCGAAGACAGTCAGCCTGACATACAAAGAGCTCGCGAAGAATTCTGGAACATGTCTCACCGTTTGTGTCCTATGCTGCTTGGTTCACCTGCCGCCAGCGGTGATGATCTTGTTCTGCATGGGCGCGACGATGAGAAGTCTCGCAACCGTGGGCGCCCCAGCGAAGGTTTGCACGCAGGAGCAGAACTCGGCGTCCCAGGCCTTGATGACGCTACCCGCGTCAAGGGAGAAGAAAACGCGATGCGCGCTGGCCAGAGACAACACCTGGTGCTGATGGCCATAGCACTCCCCTGATAAATTGATAAATGGGAGACATGCAATTCATATGTGAATGAGCTGCCCGCGTGTGATTCGATGCATGCCTTTGCTCCCGAGAAAGTTCTGGTCGTCGAGGTGCCACACGCGCACAACCTTCTCGCAGCCCGACGAGACGAGGCTGGCGAATAGCGGCACGTAGGTGAGCGACAGCACCGCAGCACCACCCGACCAGATGATGGTCTCGACAGTCCAACTCCTTTGAAACGAATACAATGCCATACAGCACAACGAGAATTTTAGCCAGCGATCGCATAGTGTGGGTATCGGCGGTCCGCTCACCCACTATACGCCTACCTGGAGTCCCAGTATAGTATCTGCCTGTCGAGAGCACCGGTGATGAAGTGGACGCCACCCAGCTCCTGCAAAAGAAAAAGAAGTCTTCGTGCTTCTCGGTGAGCATGCGGCACATCATTGGCTCACTTGGTACGCCGTCACCATGTTCGTGTGCGCAGTGAGGGTGCGAAGGGGCTCGACCGGGGCGTCATTCGCAGCCTTCATCATTTCGATCTTCTTCGCCTTGTTATCGAACACACCTGCCTACCTTCACCAACACACAAGCCGACATCACAGTGAGACACGGTCGAAAGGGTTTGCTCGCATACATCTTTTTTGAACGTGAGCGCTGCCTTTCGGGGGTCCCGTGTGGGCAGCTTCCAGATGGTCAGCTTGCCGTCTGTGCTGGCGGCGATCCACACCTGCCGCTGAGCGTTCCACCAGATGTTGCACAAGCGCTGAGTCACAAACACCTCCTGCCGCTGCACGATGGCCAGGACGGTCGTCGTTTTGCCGCCCCTGTTGCCACTCAGGTCCGTGTCATCGCCTTCCCTCGTTTCCTCCTGCCCCCCTTCGGTGAACGTCCCCCGCACTGACGTCATGCGGGTCCGCACCGTCTCCCATATGATCAGCCGCCTGTTGGATGTAACAGCTGCAATATATCTCATCGAGTCGTCGAAGGCGACGGCCAGCGTGGATGTCTCGTCGGGCCTCAGGGGGTCCACCTTCAGCGAGGGCACCTCAGCATCCTCTCCTGTGCCCTCCTGCAGCACAGCCAGCATGTCCAACCGAGCCTTCTTGCTCTTGTCGGCCGACTCGTCTTCGTCTGACGACTGCGATTTGGATGCGCTCCCAACCACGGGAAGCGGCTTAGTGCTTGTGATGGTGTCTTGGGTGAAGGACGGCACGAGAGAGCGGACCTTCGTCAGCCTTGTGCCTGCAAGCGTCCAGAAAATGATCTCGGCGGTGGACTGCTCGAGGGTAATGAGCGACGCGGCGTTGGTGAGTGGCGGGCTGGACGGCTGGACGGCCGAGGGGGGGATGGGGTCCGGGAGGGGGGATGGCAGGAGATAGACGTGAGTGGTGGGGGCCTCGTGCCGACAGGCATCTATGCAGCGCAGGGAACGCATGAAATGGGGCTTCTCCTCCTCTTCGTTCTACCACAATTTGCAAGGCAGCATGCAGAATGAGTGAGACAGACAAGGGGGGTCGGGTCTTTGTTTGTTGCCTCACCTTCACAGTGCTCAAATGCAGGGCTTTCGGTCTAATGAATGAGTACAGCTCGTTGGAGCACTCTGGCGCTTCGAGGATAAAGTCGGTGACGTCCTTCCAGTACACCTCCTTTTGCCTCCCTCCCCTCAGACAGGTCATGTCATCAAACAGGTCGCACAGAGCCGCCACAAACCTCTCGACCGCATCATCAGGACACATGCCCTGCCGCACGAGGAGGAGAACGAAGTCAGTGAGCGAGAGGCCCTCCGGCAGTCCGCTGAATCTCTGCTCGAGATCCGACAGGGCCGACGTGTGGATGTGGCTCAAGGAACTCTCTATCTCGTCGGGCAGATGGCGGCCCTTCTGACGAATGTAATGAACACATGCACCTGGCAAAATTGTGGAGGCTCAATTTCATGTACGCACCAGCCATGTTTCAGGTTTGTAGACAAGAGAGCTCCACTTGAGGAACCGCGCCCTGCCGGTGGCCACCAGGTGCTGGTAAGACGGCGTCAGGAAGAACTTGACCAGGCTCTCGTTGGATCCCTCTGTGGACTTTGTTGACAGCACCATTTCTGATCAACGAGTGATGGACGAACTGGAGAGAGAGTCTGGCGGCAGCTCCCCCCCAGCCGCCCCCAGTCTCGCCGGCGAGAACGAGAGGAGAGCGTTCTCCCTCAGTAAGCTGAGACGAGTCCAGAAAAGAGGATGTCGGAGCCTTCCGACACAGGAGAGCCATCCTCTCCACAGACATTGAGCCACGCGTGGCGGACTTGTCTGTTCCAAACCACGGGCATACGCGTCTCCCCCTCGTCTCTCATGTGCAAGAGTGGCCAGGCAGCGTCTGGCAAGCAAATCGTGCACAAGATTGACACCTGGCTCCAGACGAGGACCCACTGCAGAGGGCTGGCGGACAACCACCGTGACTCGGAAGGAGGGCTGTCAGTGGAGGAGCAAAGTCTGGCGTGGTCAAGTGGTGCTGCGAAGCTGAGGGAGATGGCCAACACGATGGGATCTGCGAATCCGCTGCTGTGCAGTGAAGCGTTTCTTTTGCACTACTTCAATGACCTTTGCTTCAGGTGCGGGAGACCACATAATTCTGACGAGACACTTGTCCGCCCTTGTTTTTTGTCACCAGGGGCTGTCACATTGTGGAGATGGACTCCTTCCTCAGCAGCTTTCAGAACCTCAAGACACTCAACTTGTCACAGGTCTGCATTCTTTGAGCTCAGCATCCTGCGTGTGGCGCTATTCTGCCTTTTGTACGCCGTTTGTCAGAACAGAATACGTGTGATCCGTCATCTGCCGCCCAAGCTGGAGCTGCTCGACATATATGGCAACGAAATTGCCTCAATCAGCAACGGCTTGAAATGTCCTGCACCCTCTCTGCTTCATCTTGGCATGGGCTCCAACTGTGTCGTAGAGGCTGGCATCCAAGGTATTGCGGCCATCTTCCCGAATCTGATCTCTCTCGATCTTTCATTCAACCTCCTTGCCGACTCATGCGTCACTCTGGAGTATCTCAGCGGCCTCACACAACTGTGCCACCTCTATCTGCTCGGCAATCCATTGACCCTTCACCCCCACTACCGCATGTGCTCTATCGTCATGATGCCATCCCTGATGCAGCTGGAGGAGGCCCCCGTTACAGCGGCAGAAAAAGAGGCGGCTGTTGCTATGTTCTTTCCCAGTATGGTTGGCAGAAAGCTAGAGACCATTGACAGAGAGAAGCTGCCGCCAATGGTGCTGCCGAACGAGTGGTGAGGATCAACGCAGAGTAACAGAAAAGGGGGGCTACGCTGATCTTGTTTTCTAGGGAGGTGCCCTTTCGGATCGAGATTTCAAAGATTGGAGGTCTGAAGAAACTTGTGACCCATTTGTTGAAGCGTCGGGCGAAAGAAGAGGCGGACCATGCTGAGAAGGAGCGGAAGCTGAAGGCACTGAAGGCACCTGTGCCTTCATCAGAGCAGCAAGAGGCCGAGGCTCTGGGTGAAGAGAACGAAGAGAGCAAGCAACAGCAGCAGGAAGAGCAAGCACCACCCGCAGAAGATGGTGCGGCCAGCCTAGATGAAAAGGTGGGTCCAAGTCAACCTTATGGCATGTATCGACGCTTGACCATCAGTTCATACTCGGCTGACGTGCAGGCCAAAGCCTTGTTGGAAGCCACATTGTTCCGCTGGGAGCTGTCGGTGCCAGATGCCGTAAAGCTGCCCCAGGATGAGCCAGCTACAGGAGCGCCCGAGGGTGAAGATGAAGCTCAGGCAGTACCGAAGGCTCCGCGCCCCATCTTCCGCAGAGACATGGACGAGTCACGTGATACCACCAGTGAGTTGTGGCTGCTGGGGGAGAACACATTCCAACTAGAGCTACCGGTAGGAGCACGCTAGTACTCATCTCGGTATGCGACAAAAAAGAAAAGAATGAATAGGCGGATTTTTATTGTTCAGGCCGATGAAGGGCAACCTGACTTTGTCCTCGACCCGCCCCATCAGCTGCACTTCACTGCATTGGTGGACACATCCGATGGCCGGCGGCTTAGCCTCCGCAACTACCTTATGTGTGGATGTCGTCTCCGTCTCGTCATGGAGCCGCCAGCCCCTGAAGCGGTAGAAGAAGGCGACGAGCAACAAAAAGAGAACGGAGAAGAGAAGCCTGCGGATGCTCCGGCCGCAGAGGAGACACCGGAACAGAGGAGGGATCGCATCTTCGCGGCCACCCATGTGCCACTGGACTCGTTGATAGCACGGTCCTTCCCTCCTTCCCGGTCACTTGGCGATCAGCCACCTGAAAGCACAACAGGTCAAGAACCCACATCATGTATTGACAAGAGAGACATGTCAAATCTGTTGCATCACGTCATTTTCAGGTGTGCTGCAGCAGCCACTGTGCCCGGGCGACAGCGAGGACGTTGCTGAGCTTATCGCCCCCAGGCCGAAGGAGAGGACGAGACACGTTGCGGGGTCAGGGGCTGTGTGGGTGTGTGGGACCATGTGGAGTGCAGTGGAGAGACAAGAAGAGGATGGCAACGAAGAATGACATGATGATGAAGGAATACACTCATATGGACGCGGATGACTCATAAGACAACACAATGTTCATGTCCTATTTTCCTTTGTTCCTTTCGTCCTATCTTGTTCCCTCTCAATCACCAACGGCATTCTGGCGAGACCATCCCACTAATCTACCTCATCATCATCCACTAGTGGCGAAGACCTTCTCTCCGACGCGTTACCACCCTTCACTTCTTGCTGAGATGTCCTAGGAGATTTCACATCTTGTGACTGGAGATGCGCGGCCTTCAACCGATGCTCATAATGCAGCGGCACCTTTGCGAGCCCATTTCCTTGCCGCTCCTCTCCGCAAGCAGCCGTGCTGTTCTTCCTTGCTGGTTGCTGCGTTTCCTGCGAGGCAGGGGTGTGAGATTTCTTTGAGGACGTCTCTTGTGAGGTGAGAGCTTTCTTCTTTTCTGACACACACAGACCAAGAGTGTAGGCTTACAGTTGCCCCTGCATGAATTCCGTCTCACCGGTGCCAGTTGATGGAAAGGTCAGATCAGCCACGACACTCTTCAGCTTCCGCTCGGCAAGCTCGGCCCTCTCCCGTGCCTGTCTCAACGCTAAGAACAGCCCGCCTCCATCGAAATGGCGCCTCACTTCGTCTCTAATGACAGCCTTCAGTGTCTCGAGGATGCCTGTACTCACAAGACTTCGCAGTGTCTGCTGGGCTGAAGCCCCTCCGTCGGAAGTCGACAGGTTTCGCTGAAGTGAAGGAGGCGGCCTTGCCTTTCTGCAATGATGACAGGGTTCCGATGCCGGCGAGGATCTCGATGGCGTCTTCATTCTCGTGATTTCGACTGTCTTCATCCTCCGGTGGGGCTGCAATGTTTCCGGCGGATGGCCGGTCCTGGAGACGCCTTTCCATCCTTAATTGTAGGCTGATGATAGGCAGGACGTAGACAACTTGCATCCCGAGCAGGCACAGCTTCATCGACCCGTGAGACGGGGGGCCATAGCTCGCAGCCACGAGGCCCCCCGGATGGCGGAGAGGAGCCATGTGCCTGCTCGTTTTCACTTGTTTCGTTGCGCTGTTGGCGCCCGGCGCTGCTGCAGAGTGGAGCGAGGTGACACGCCGGCATCCTGCGTGGCTGACGACACCCATTCCAGCCATTCCCTACCCGAAGACGTGGCTGTCCATCGGCGTGTGGCTTTTCAATGGCAACAGGGAGAAGGACTTCACTGAAACCGTCGTCGAAAAGGTCAGACTCTCTCAGGACGTCTGATGCCCGGACGGCTCCGCCGGCATTTTGTCTTGTCTATGTACGTGCAGGCCCTGTCTTTCTATGTGGACAGGCTGAACAACGAATATGGCGGGATACGAGTGGGCGAAATGACGCTGAGAGTGTGCCTTGTGCCGTTCTACTCTTCTGACCCCTCCCGGGTGCCTCATGCCTTGCTTGAAGCCATGGAGACGCGTCGCATCGACTTGGTCTACGTCTCTCACCCCTTTGAGCAGCTACACACAGCATTTGGGGCTCTTGACGGGCTCAAGATGATATCCCTGTGGCCATTCAGCGGAGGCTTCGCCGGAAAATTCAAGTATCCGATCACGACGTCAATAGGGCTGCAGCCCTACGCAGACGTCTTTGCCAGTGTCGCAGAGAGAGAAGGGACTCAGAAGGTCCATGAGCAAACATGAAAAGAAAGGGAGGACCACGTGGAACACAAAATGTGTGTTTTCCTCTTCTTGTAGGTTGGATTAATTTGGAAAGATGGCGACGAATACGGCACTGAGGCGGCTCTGCACCGCTTGATGCGAGAAGCCTTCAAGGAGCGCAACATAACCATCGTCCTGGAAAAAAGGATGCCCCCGAGACCATCACCCCCCAGAGGGCTCGAGAGATCGTGCGGCTAGCCAAGAAGAGGGGCGTCGAGGTCTTGTGCAGCCTCCAAGACGGTGCTGCCGAGATCGTGTCGGCAATGGAGAGAGAAGAGCTGGACCTCCAGGCCCTTTTTTGGTTTGCGCTGCCGGCTCAGCCGCACATCTGGCAGCCCCTTGGCAGACGCGGCGACTATGTGATCTTTCCGGCACAGTGGCACCCGACGGTTGTATATGACGATCCTGTGGTCAACTCGACGGCGCTGCTCGAGGACTGGCGCGCGTGTTTTGACACCGATACTGACATTTCGTACGTCCAAGCGATGGCCTTGCTCCCACTACACTTCCTCAAGCTGACGATGGAGATGCTCAATGTGTGGACAGACGACCCCATTGTCAACGCGGTGGGTCGGCTCGGTGCAGAGAAGTGACACGATGCGGGTATACGCAGGTTTGATTTGGGTTGGTTTGCCTGTTGCTAGGATCGTTTATTGTGGGAGCTGTCTCGCAACGAGGTCCCCACTTTCATGGGCCCCGTACGGTTGGATCGCTACAACCGCAATAGCGGCACGTCAGCTGTTCTCGTGCAGCAACAGAACCAAAAGCAGGTGGGTGGGCTACTTTGGCGTCCATCTGGATGGACTTGGTGATATTCTGTCTCCAATCTTCCTTGACACAAACAGCATGCCGTGCTGCCGGTTGAATCAGCAAGCAGTGAGCTAGTGTGGCCGCTGCCCACGTGGGAGGTGAAGAGGGGCTGTCCGCCGGGCAAGTACATCCACGAGGCAAGAGAATGCCTCCCGTGTCCACCCAACTCCTTCAGCGTCTCAGTCAATGCCGAGAGATGCTCACTCTGTCCACTCGGTGAGACACAAAGAGGAATGATGCAGCTAAGCAAGGAGACACGGTGACTTTTGGCGTTTTTGACTCGTTCAGGCCACGGCCAGCCCCGGGAAGGACAAACGAAATGTGTCATGTGTGCATTTGGATATGGGAATATCGGTGGAACGCTTGATGGATGCCGCCCCTGCTTGCGAGGCTCTTATTCTGACTTCTACGGCACTTGCATCTGTCTCAAGTGCGACCCGGGGACCTACGCAGACACCGAGGCTTCCATTGCATGCACACGTTGCCCTGAGGGAGAAACCACTCTCGCAGAAGGATCCGGTCGTCCGAGCGACTGCACATGCCAGTCGGGCTTTTATCAGCAGCCTGCCGCGAACATTTCGTCTATTGCTGACCCCCGTCGCCTGGATGCAGGAATGCAGGCGGCGCTAGCCCTGGAGAACAGCACAGAGCACCTGGTGCGCGGCAGGTGTGCTCCTTGCCCCGATGGCTGCAGCTGCCCAGGCAAGCTGAGAGCCGACGGGAGATCGATCGATCACCTCATTCATGTCCAGTTCCCGGCACACTGGCCTGTGTGTCGCTGCTTCTGCAGGTGGCGAAAAACCACCGAGCATTCTTCCGGGCTACTGGCTCCCCCCGCCGAGCTCTATGGATCGAGTCCACCTGATTGATAAGCAGATGGAGCAAGAGATCACCGACCTGCCTTCATTACCGGGCTTCGAGCCCAGATCGGTGAATGCCAGCACGCCACCAGCGAGCGAGGTGAATGTGTCGGATGGCGTCGTCGCGGACCCTGTCGCCCTGTCGTACGAGGCCGACACCGCGGCCCAGCTGCTAACGCTATCGACATTCAGCAACGTATCAGCTGTGGCGGCGTCGCTGCCGTTTCGCGTCAATCCCACTCTTCTGCCCGACACTGCGGCAAACGATACAGAAGAAGACGACACCAACGAGAGAGGCATGGACATTCTGCTGTCCTTGAGGCGGCACCTTCCTTTCAAGTGCGTGCCACCTTCATCGTGCCCTGGCGGAGATGCCGGCGCCTGTGCCGCCAATCGGGAGGGGCTGGTATGCGGCAGGTGCTCGAAAGGCAGATTCGACAGCAGAAGAGAGGATGGTTCTGTATGTCACCCTTGTACTTTTCGCCTGTCCTTCCCTCTGGTGGGTCACAGCACGGGGCGGGCCGACCGCCCAGCCCATACCGTCTCGCGACCATCTCTGTACTTGCCTCTCAGGCCGTTTTCCTACTGCTCTGCGTCATGTTGCCCTGCGCTGCTCTGCTGGTGAGGCCAACACGAATTGCCACAAACACATGAATTTTTCCGCTTCCCTGCCACAGATTTGGTTTGCTAATGGCCAAGTGTGGCGAAACGGCAACTCAGTATCATTCCTGTTCACCTCGTTCCAGCAGCTCGGCATGGTCACCTCTGTGTGCGCCGCCCTGCCCTTCTCGGTTGCGCGAGTCTTTAGTCTCTTCCGTTTGATGCTCTTTGATGGCTCGCCCGTCGGCCTGTGTCTCGCCTGCCATGGGCTGGATACTTTTCAGTCGCAACACAATTTCTTACTATCTATGCCGCTGTTCCTTGTGGCGGCCCTGGTGATCATCTATGCGGCGTCGCAGGTCTGAGTGAGACGCTGGGAGTGAGGAAGACGCAGATGATGCTCGGCTGTGTCCATTGCAGGTGCTTCATAGGCGCGAGAGTGGGGAGTGGCGGCTGGTGCTCCTGGGACGGTGCCTTGTGCTGCGCCCACTGACCATACACACGTGAGTGCCACCAGCGGACAGACCTAAATCACATTTGTCACATTGGTGGACTGACAGGTGCTGGCGTCTCTCATCCTGATGTTCCACATGCTCATGATTACCCTTGCCCGGATCGCCCTCATCCCATTCGACTGTTATAAGCACCCCAACGGCTACTCGTCTGTCCGCGAGTTCCCCCACGTCCTTTGTGGCCTCCATGGGGAGGCGGCCATCTGGCGGCAGCACCTGTGGGTGTCGTACATCGGCCTGGGGGCTTATTGCGGGTCGGTTGTCATTATGACGACACGGTTTGCTCTCGCCGCAAACAGAAGGGGCGACGAAACGGGTACCGACATTTGCACATCCGCGTCACTGTCTGGCTCACGTGCCTGTGTTGCTGCGATTTTCAGGATTCAAGGAGGTCTACGGTCACTTCATGGACAAGTTTGCAGGTGGCAAGTATTGGTGGTCCGTCGTATGGATGGCGCGCAACCTTTCGCTGGCCCTCACAGTGACGCTGCCTCACGGCAGCATCCAGAAGGTGTTTGTGGCTTCGCTGACGACGGTCTATCTGGTGCTGCTCATATTTGTCTTGCCGTGGAAGAGGCCCACGGATGTGTACGTGGACGGGTCGACCAACGCCATATACCTACACATTCTGCTGATCAGTGGCCTCAGCTCACAGGGAGATCACAAAAACGAGCAACAGGGAAAGATGCTCGGTGAGCCGGGACGGAGAGGATCCCACAGAGACATACATCCATGCACGCGATGGATGCATAACGCAACGCGTGTGTTGGGATTTCTGTGTATCCCAGTTGTCCTTTTGACGGTGTCGGTGGTTCTCATGCAAGGCATTATCCTCGGGCGGCTCGCATTGGTAAGGGTGAAAAGGCGGACAACCACATGCTACATGCGCATACTAACATCGTGTCTCTGACCTTCTTTTGGAACAGAGTGGCTTGGCCAAGTGCCGTGGTTTGCGACAACGCAGCAAACAGATTACTCAGTCCGACACATCCCTCGACGTCACAAACGATACCATAGGCCCCTACGACCCACAAGAGACACAAGAGAATCCTCTTGAAGAAATGACGACTCATGATAAGGGCAAGTTGAAGGCAGGCCGCCGGTCCCAGTCAGTGAGGAGTTTCGCCACTACCACCTGCACACGGCACGGCAGCAGCAGCAGCAGCACCTCGCTACTCCTGGCTCCCGCAGACAGCATGCCATGCAGCAGCAAGGAGTGCGACACGGATCTGGCTCAGCCACCCGCTGCGGCGGAGGCCACAGTTGGCCAGCAGCAGCCACTGTCACTAGCGCAGAGGTCCGAGAGCCCATCTTCCTGCTCATCGTCTTCATCGTCGGGCAACGAGGATGAGATCGATGTTGTCATCCCGCCTCCCATCGTCACACCACCATCAGACGAATGTCCACTGGCACGGGCAGACTCAGCCGATGTGTGTGAGGCTGAGGACAACGAGCCGCCGGCTCAGGCCAACAGGCCTTGGCTCACTGTGGTTGGGGAGGTCCGCTTGATGGCCTCTCGCATACCCAGCATGACGCCATCGACGGCCGCTGATTCCACTGGAGCGGCCAGAACACAAGACGCTTGAATGAATAGAAAAACCCCCGGCTGCAGTGTGTGTGCGTGTGCAATTTTGCATCTCTGTTGCCCGACATTCGGACGTTGTGTGTGTCTCGGTTGCGAGAATCGACTTTTTGTCCGTGGCTGTGCATTCTGTATGTGCAAGGCAACAGCCTCTGATAGAGAGGCTGCAGTTCCTTCCTTCTGTTTCTCGGGAGGGAAGGAGGCATGCGGGCGGGGAGTTCTTATTACTCCTGTGTGTGTGTGTGGTGCTGATGCGACTCGACCAAACGCGATGCAGACTTCTGGCTGCATGAGACAGCGTCTTGACATTTTCTCAAATGTGCAGCAAGCAGCGTCAAGCTGCTGTGCTTCATCCAGTGCTATTTCGCTGCCTGGTGGGCGAAAAGCTATCTTCTGTGTCCGTACGCACAAGGGGCATGTATTGTTCGCCAGAGTGTACTAAGCAAGTCTGTCTGTCTGTCTGTCTGCCATGATTGATCGTGGACATGCAATGCATCGCAACCAACATATCCTATTCCATCACACCGACCAAATGCCCGGCGAACAGCGATCCACACAACAAAGATGGGACAAATAAAAACACGTATACATGCGAATGTCGAGACCGGTGTCTCTCCAAGTCCTGCCTATCGCTCGGTCACCCATGCCCTTCTCGATGTCGCTTCATCCTTTTCGTCCTTGTCCGCCGCATCAGCCGACAGCGGCAGCTCCTCGAGCCCCAGGGACTTCCTTAGTTGCCTAATGTCCTCACTGGCAGCGGACGATGGTGCCGATGAAGGGAATGAAGGGGGAGGAGGCCTCACTGGCCTCAGAGCAAGCTGCGGACGGGGAGGGGGCGGGGGCAAAGAGGGCGGCCCCGGTGGTAGGGCCCTTGGCTCTTGGACTGGTAGGGGTGGGCCGGGCGCTGCCACTGGTGGCTGAGGAGAAGGCTGTTGAGGCTCTGTCTCGTCGACATGCCGTTGGTCTTGTTCCTGTAGCGGCTGAGCAGCTTCAGCCTCTGGCACTGGCATTGGTGGTGTCTCGTCCACATGTTGCTGCTCTTGTTCCTGGCCTTGTTCTTGCTCTTGGTCCTCCTCTTCTTGTTGGTCGGCTGTTGGCTTATCGTCGGGTGTGTGTGTCTCCTGCGGTTGGCCCTGGAGTACGGGCATGGGGGGCGGGTTAGGGAGAGGGGGAAGCAAGGCCAGGGGCGGAAAGGGGGGCAAAGGTGGGAGAGACGGCAGCGGGGGAAAGGGGAGCAGTCCACCCATCGGCAAGGGAGGGGCCTCGCCTGGCGGTGGAGGAGCTGCTGACGGGGCTACCGGTGGCGGGGGAGGTGCTGGCACCTCTCGCATGCCGCCCTTGTCTGTCCGTCTTGGTTCAAAGCGGCTTTCCTCTCTAGGGCGGAATAATGCCGTAATCAGCTTGCCGAATGGCGACTCCCCCTTCTTGCTCTCGCCCAGTGGGGACTCTCTTCTACCCAGCTCGATGCGCCGCGCCTACCAGCACGGAGACAAGATTCACTGTGCATGCAGTCACATGAGCGCATCGTTTTCAACAACTCACCACGAAGTCTCCACGCTTGTGCTGGCGCCTCAGTTCGAAGCGCTTGATCTCTGCTACAGTGACGAGTATGGCGCGAAGGACATCGAGGACCAAAGAGACAAGACAAAACCCGACCACACTCGCGTACAGCCTGATGATGCATGCAGTGGAAAGACAAAAATGAGACGCGAAGAATGCAACGTGCAAGAGATATGTTGACCATGATGACTCTTCCTCAGTGCTGAATTTGGTGCCGTATGTGAGCACAATCACGGTGGCCGCCGTCATGAAAGTCGTGGATGCGATATACGGAAGCAACACAACGATAGAGTACACCTGAGGCCAAACAGCGCAGGTGAACAACCGCGCCCCCGTCCCCTTTCACGCACTCACCGTGGAGGGCACAGGTTTCCTGGTGGCGGCCATGCGTGTCAGTTCTTCCATCTGCAGCCGCTGGTGCTCCTTTTGCACCCTGTCCAGGTACACGCTCCTCACCCGCCGCACAAAGACGTCATCCTCTTCGCCGGGTGGGGGCGGGGGAGGGGGCTGCATGGGCGTCGCTAAGGGTGGCACAGGAATCTACATCACACATATGGAGAGCAACAGACATGCCATCCATCCATCGATCGATCCAGCATCTGTCTCACCGTGCCAGCTATGAATGGCGCTGTGCCGGTGCTTATGAAGGCGCTCCCGACTGCCGGCGACATGCCTCCTCCCCCGTAGTAAATCGGTGGGCTTGCACTCGACATCATCTTCTGCATTGCCCCCGACCCACCTGGACTGTATCCGCCGTAGACAGGCGGCAGAGGGGGCGGCAGGGGGCGGAAAATGGGAGGGAGAGAGGGAGGGCCGACAGGTGGTGGGGATGGCTGTGCTGGCTGGGAGGGTATCTCATCCACATTGACCATCCCTGGTAGCGGGGGTGGCGGCATGCTGTGTGTCTCCTGTGCCTCCCTGTCATGCACGTCTTTGGACGGCACTGGGGTCGCCAGCCGATCTTCCTCAGCCACATGGGGCGTCGTCAATTCCGCGCTGGGAGGCGCCTCGGCAGACGATGGTGGCTGCTCGTCAGTGGCTGACTTGTTGGTATCGTCTTGGCCAGGTGAGGGCATGGGCAGTGGGGGCAGTGGGGGCAGTGGTGGCCCTCGTGGCCCACCCTCAGGCGCACTTGGCAATGGAGGCAGTGACGGCGGGCGCCCCATCGGCCGCATCGGTGGCGGTGGTGGCGGTGGAGGGGGCATGCTCCTTGTTGGTGATGTGGCTCGTGGCGGGGGTGCGATAGGGGGAAGTGGCCCTAGGCTGGACATGAGGGAAGGGGATGCGATGGATGGCGGTGGGTGCTTGGGGGGAGGCGGTCTGAAGTCAGGGTGGGATGGGGGAGGCGATGGTAATGTCAGCGACTTCATCCCTACGCACACAATACACACGATGGAAGAACGGGCAAACTGTCGGCCCTCCTTCCTGCAAACGAACCTGCGACAGGGATTTGCACTCCCTGCATGACCAGGGGCACAGGTCCGCTGCCGCCCAGCGATGGCGGCATCGGCATCATGGGCAGAGGGGGCGGTGGGGGGACGGGAGGGCTGCCAGGCTTGCCGGCCTCGCCAACGCCCGAGAACATCGATATGGACGGCTTGAAGTAGTGAATGACGTCACCGCCGGACGGGGCTTGGCCCCGATACTTGGGGGCCTTGTGGACGACGGGGTGCGGCCGGCGGGCAAACATCAACCCAAAACCCACGAAAATGGGAAATATGAGCAGGCCAGACAGAAGGCCTGAGACACAGACATATGGAGTGGGGAAGTGGACAACAGATCAACGTATGTATGTCCCCGAGCAGGCGCACCGGGAGTGAAGAAGTCCGAAGCGACGAGCAGCTTTCGGCTGTACAGAACGGCGTTGAAGGCCATGATGCCAACCACACACACACCCAGACACACCAACCGCTGAGGGCGGGAATAAATCTGACAACCGAAGAAACAGAGATATGGGCCGGTGAGTTGATCATCGGTTGCAAACACACTGCCAGCATAGTGCTGCTTTGCTTGCTGGTTGGTTGATGTGATGCCATCCATGCCCACCTCACCTCTCTGTACATGAAAGGTGATATGAGCACGTGATCTCGCTTGATGACGCTCCACAGTGTGTAGATGAAGAGCCTTGACGGCTCGTTGACATGCTGGTAGGCAATGGGGTCTCCGGGCCCCTTCGGACCGGTCACGCCATCACCTGTCGGGCCAACAACCTCCGTCACGCCCTTCTTGCCCTCGCGCCGGGCACGCCTGATAGAAACGCAGGAATGTGTGCAAGTGTCGACGCGTGGCATGACAATGATTTTGTGGCGGCGAGTGTGCGCACTTTTTCTCTTTGTGTTTCTTGCGCCTGTCGACTTGCCAGCCCCAGAAGGTGCACAACGCATTGGCCAGCAGGACCAAGGCCAGCGACAATCCCACCGCAAGATTGGTCGTCTCCAGACCTGCAGCCACACAGGACCTAAGGGATTGAGACGAATTTCCCCTTCTGCAGACATCGCCTGCGCACCAGCGTCGAGCAGCAGCGATGCAGCGTCGTAGAAAGTCTCAATGTCGAGCAGCCTGCCGTCGAGGAACAGACCCATGTCGCTCAGCTGGCTAGTAAGGCAACCCAGTCCGTCATTGGCAATGCCCCTGCGAGACCATGCCCCACCAGCCGTCCCGGGGGCAAACCGATCCCACACCACACACTGACCTGCACGCATTCGAGACACACACACAAGGTGAATGCAACAGAAAGCATGCCCTCAAAGCATTATTTTCACTCACCGGACGAGAAGCTCTTGACATTTGCGAACACCCGCGTGAATTGGCTTTCGTTCTTGTCGAGTTCGTTGGTGTTGGCTTTGAGCGGCAGCATGGTGATGACGTATGTGAAGTTGCCGGGGGGGTTGGAGTCGGACCAGTCGTAGATGTTCTTGGTGTAGGCCACGAAGATGAATGAGAAAGCGTTGAGGGGGTTGTCGGGTGTGGGCTCGTCGGGCGTGTCGGGCGGGACGGTGTACTGCTGAGGGAAGATGAACTGGGGATGCACCGCTGAGAGATCGGTCGTCTTGCCTGCAATGCATTGCATTGAGTGTGGCGGAGACGGAAACATCCACACCAGCATGTATGCATGTCCCTGAGCGCGTGTATGGGTGTCTGTCTTGCTCGCTGACCGAGTGTGATGTCGAATCCCGGCGTCTGGTACTGCAGGGGCAGCTCATTCGATATGAGGTTGGCAATCAGCTGCTTGGACAGGACGTCTCGCGACACGGCGATGCGGGTCATCAGCTGTGACTTGTTCCTCTGCTCGCTATACAGGGTGTCCGCCAGCACCTTCAAGGTCGCCTCGAACTGAGCACGACGGACGGCCTGCTCATCGGCCGGCAGATCCTTGATCTCAACTTCGAACTTGGCATACCGCTGCAGCTCCTCCTGTGCCCAGGGAGATGTCAACGGATGCGGACACAACACTGGAGGGGGCAGCTCAGAGCCATGTCAACTCTCTGCTCACCCGTCTCTGTCTGTCCAGCTCGGTCTGCAGCTCCATGACTTCATCGAGCAGCGGACCCTCCAGCGACTCGAGGCCATCATAGTCTTCCTCACCAGAGTTGGTCAGATACCCAATTGTGCGCATCACCGAGGCCCGCTGTGATTCCTCTGTGTCGTCTGTCTGCGTCGCATTCGCTGCTTGCAGTCTCCGTTGCGTGGTGGACCCGAAGAGCCGTCGTCTCGTCGGAACGGCACCCTTGCCGCTCTTGATAGCCATCATCGACCGTGTAGGGACCTTGTACGACGCCAGCAACTGTGTCGCAAGGGCGCTCTGGTTGTGGTGGGCGCCAACAAGGTCCAGGGCATCCAACACGGCCTGGTTAAGGCCAGCTTCCCTCCATTTGGGCAGGCTCCATATCTCCTCTGTGGCTCTGCTCCTCGCGTAAGAGACGACATCGGGGTTGCGGGTGTTGACTGTTCGCGTGGCGAACTCGACTTGTTCCGCTGGATTGGACAAGGGGTTTGCATTGAGGCCTCCCGTCTGCTCGCCGGGCAGCAGGACGCCGAGGATGTAGAACGAGATGGCCGAGAGCGACATGCCGTCCTCACTAGATGGGTCGAAGGCGCCGATGCTGACGCCAGAGTTGACGAGGTTCTCGAGCACGTCCATGGGTTTGTCCGACCTGAGCCCCTTGTCAGTGACTACAGCCAGGAAGAGGAGCTTCTGCTGCAGCACTTGGGGTGTATCGGGTGAGTCCCTCGTCCTCTCTGTCATGATGTCCAGCATCTTCTCAAGCAGCGTCTGCGTCTCGGGGTCAAGCTCCTCACCTGGTCCAGGCGGCTCGGGATCTGAGAGATGGGAGAGAGACACATGCAGGACCGAAGCATGAGACACAATGCTCTCGTGTGCGCTTGAGGCGAGGCTTCCTCACCGACGATGCTGAGTGCCGTTTGGAGGGTCTGCACGACAGTCTCGGGGTCCTGCGCCTCTGCCTCATCGAGCAGGTCGTCCACGGCCCCAGTGACGTTCTCGGGCCGTGTGCTCGATATGGAAAGATACTCAGTGGTCCGGGCACCAAACGGTGTGAACACCTCCACGAACGTAACGAGCGTCCCGTTGCTCCCGGTGCCAACAGGCAGTGAGTTGACCTTGACTTGAGAGACGGGGAGAGGAGCCGTCGTGATCTTCACGCGCACAATGTCAACTATGCCGTCCTGAAAAGAGACACAGAGGAACCGCGCCCTTTCCTTTTCATGGTGCCGCATCCATGTATCCATACCGTTTCGAGTTGCGATAAGTACCCAAAATCATACGAGAGGGGCGTGTCATCAGCCGTCCAGTCAGGGGCGCTTAGCGTCCTCGGCGTTGTGGACGTGGCAGCAAGCGGCGTCACAATCAGCTGTCCTCCCTTGGGCGGCAGTCCCGCAGTCACGATCGTCACATCCGTGTAGCCCTCAGCCAATCCTACTCGCGTCACGAGGCGGAACTTGTACGTTGTTGATCCCGACAGGACGTTGGAGTAGATGACAAGGTTGGGACTGCTGGGATCGGTCTGAAATAGCGATGCATTGTTGATGTTGAGGATGTCTTCCGCCACCTCCACAAACTTGTACCGGTCAACCAGATACGGGTTGTCGGTGCCCTCGCGCTCCCGGAACTCGTCTGCGTCCCAGTCGGGATTGAGGTCGTACACAAAGATCTGCAAACAAGAGACACATGAATCCACACCGGTCAAGAGTCTCGTTTGACTGTTTGCCTGGTCACCTTCCAGGAGAAAAGGGGCGGGTTGTTTGGGTCTCTCTCCCCTTCGATCGTGCCCACGATGCGTATGGGGTCGCTGATGGCATATATCTCCTTAACGTTGGTCACCTGCAGACGCACATCTGACAGAAGCAAAGCAAACACGAGTGAGTCCACTAAGACATTGATGCCAGTAAGGTAAGGTGTCTGTCTCACTGGGAATGGTTTCTCTCGTGATGTTGATGAAGGCATCTCCCGTCGCCTTGCGGCCATCTGCGGCAGTGATGATGGCGGTGAACTTGTACTCGCCTTCTTTGAACATGTCCGTCCGCACCATGATGACGCCCCTCGTGTAGCTGCAGTAGTTGAGGTTCAGCTCCTCCAGCAAAGGCACGGCGAACTCCACACCTCCATCCAGCACCTTCCTGTCCTTGTCTGTCTCACAGACCGACATATTGGTGATCCGAGGCAGATTCCCTCCGTAGCAAGGGATGCGATCGGGGTCATAGCACTGAGGACGTGGGACAAAACATGAGACACGCCGCGGCAGTACTGCTTCGGTTATCTCGTCTCACCTCCCATTCGAACGTGCCGGCGAATGTCTTGCCCGCTCCTGTTGGGAAGTCGGGGTCCTGTGACTGGCGGGCATCGAGAATCAACAGACGGCCGCGGGTCAGCCCACGAGACTCACGACGATACACCACAAAAATGGGAGACCTGAGCGAGAGGTGAGTCCACAGGATGAGAGCACAGCCGTCGTCTTCTCGTGTCGGTCACTCACTCACCTCTGGACTTTGATTCTGACAGACTTGGTGGTGACCTTTTCTGGCGCGCTAATGACGAAGACCGACACGGTGAAGTTGTATGACGTCTCGGGCATAAGCGTGAATGGCGGAATGACCAACGTTCTGGACTGCCTCTTGATGCTCGGGAAGTTGGCAAAGTTGAGATTGCCGGTCTTCTCGCCCCACTGGAAGCCGAGCTTGCGATCGACGCCAGGGCACATCGACGGAAGAGCTTCAGAGATGAGACTCACTTGCTGCGTTCTGTTTGCTGTGATGTCTGTGAGACCCAGGATGGACACCATAGGAGCGGGGAAGTCGAGCTTGTTGACATTGATGAGTGTGATGGAAGTCACATCCCAGAAAGACAGCACCGTCAAGTTGAGGCGGAAATTGGTCGCCGGCTCCAGCTCGAAGGCACCCATCTCCACACGGGGACTGTTGCTCGCTGTGTACGAGGCAAGCCGACTCTGAGACAAGAAGAACTCTAATGCAATAATTCTGCTTCTTTCCCTCGTCTTCTGTGCCTGCTGACCTTGAACAGATCGATCAACGTCTGGTTGAACACCCGATCGGGCCTGTTGTTCAAATCACTGTAGCCCAGAAGGCTCCAAAAGTACTTAGGCCGGCCGCCAACATTGAACGTGTCGGCAGCATCCAGCTCCATCGGCGAACACTCATCCAGCTCTGTCGAGCCCGACAAGACGATAGATGGCGGAAGCAGGGGGTCGGGATAGCCGACAAGGATGCCTCCAATGGCGGGCATCGACCACTCATCGTTGCGTGGCTGGGTCCAGATGGTGTAGGGGCGGACAAACAAGTTATCGTTCACCTGCAAGGCGGCCAACAGAGGAGGGTGTGTGCATGGATATCTTTTTGTTGTTTTCATCTTGTTGGCCGACCCTGATAATGAAGTCAATGGGAAGTGAAATGATGACTTTGGCGTCCGTGGCCCAGTCACAGATGGCCCCTACCAGCAGGGCAGCTGACTCATCATCGAATATACGACCACACTCCACCTGGATAAAGAAGCGCATACAATACATGCATTCACGGCAGGCCGGTCGATGTGCGTGTCTCTGTCAAGCACCGGTTCGTTCATCTGTGTCGAGTAGTCGATGTAGTCGGGGATCAGATCATCATCAATGTCGACAGGTTTGGCGCCACGAAGAGTCGACCTGCCAAAAGAGAAAGACAAGACGTGCATATTCCATGCTGACATCCTGGAGACCATTTCCTCCCTCACTGACGTGGAGAAGTCCACAATGATGCTCGACGCCTCCATCATGAAGACGGCCCGGATCAGCTCTGGAGGCGGCAGCGTCAGAGGCACACGTGGGTCCCGATTGTACACCTGTGCCGTGGATGTCTCGATCGGCATGGTGCCGTTGTCTCCCCACAGCTCCTTGGCCTTGGTGCGGATGTCAACCTGCACGACGGTGGGCTCCGTGGCCCTGAATGGCTCCTTGCGTGTGGCAATGATGGTCTTGTTGAACATGTGGTCGCTGCACACGCCACCCACGTAGAAGCCCCAGTCGTCCTCGGTGCTCTCGGGGCCGGAGTTGTAGATGCTGGAGGAAGGGTCGTAGAGGACGTCGTTATAGGTCTGGGCCACGTCTGCCGATGTCAGGAGCTTCATTGGCACAAGCGGGTCGAATTGCCAGTCGATGGCCACCGTGTCTGCACACACAGACAAGAACAGACAGCACTGACAGGCCTGTGTGTCCACACACTTGCAGCCAAGCTTAGCGGCGCAGCCGCACTGACCGTCGTCTCGCCTCAAGTAGTTTCCGAGATAAAGATACTGCAGCAGCCCACTATCCCGAGCACCCATGGCAGTCAGGTCGCCGTATTTCTCATTGAAAGTCAACATTGTCACCCTGAAGTCGACTGTGCGTTCCTCCAGCCCCACGTGATTGCGCATGTCATAAAACAGGAGACGGTCAGTGAGAGGCGCATTCAGGCCTACACGCCATGCACACATCAAGAGACACAAGCCCGCATATACTAGAATCAATCACCGCTGTGCTCATTCATTCGTGGCCCGCTCACCCTACCCTTGTCGGAGAGAGAGTCTTCATCGGTGACGACAAAGGCATACACATCGTGAAGAGAGTTGATGGCCGACACCGGCGAGAAAAGGAACCTGCTGTAGGCCGCACCCCCGCCGCCCTGCACCACCAATGGATAGGTGGTCGTAGTCATTTTGGGGTTGCGCGCATCGCTGGTGTTGATGCGGATCTGGGCGAACTCATAGCTGAAGTCTCTCTCCCCAGTCCCCGTGTTCCAATCGCTGTTGATCTGGACACCGACAATCCTCGATGAGTCGATGTCGTAATGGATGCCGTGCAGCTCCCCGGAGTAGCCCAGGTCCGTGTTGGTCAGCCGTAGCTGGTGCTGATACAGGGGCTTCCCCGTCAGTGTCGATATGCAGTGCAGCCAAAACTGCCAGTAGGGGCCGTAGTCTGTCGGGCTGTTCGATCTTGTCTTCTGCGTGGCCACAACCGTGTAGAACATGTACCGCCACGGGTCATATCCCCCAATGCTGCCCCCCTGGTCCCGATCATACTCCCGAAATCCCGACCATATCCCCGCTCCTCCGCCACATCTGCCCGGCGTGTCAAACTCTTCACAAGGGTTGTTACACAACTCGTCACCGATCTGCGAGATGCCCGGGACGATCCCTTCCGTGTGTGTAAAGCACGCGCAGCCAGTGCCGCGGACCAGCACCATAATGTCGCCTGTGCTCCATGCCGGGTCCTTGATGTCATTGTGTGGCTGGTTGGCCTTCTCAATGCATCGGCCAGTGCAGTTGACGGGGTCGGGTGCGTCGAGGGTCTCCTCCATTGCCTCGGCTGCACCGCCGCTGCTCGAGAAGCACCCTACCTAGCCACAGCACACAACACAACACAGGTCAGCAGACACCTCTCTCTGCACTGATTGGTGAGTATTGGTACCCACCCAGAGGAATCTTGATTTGAGTTTGAATGCCTGCGGCTCGCCCTGCTCGTCGACCTTGGAGAGATAGAGGATATGCGGGTTGACGAAACTCCCATCAGCCAGCTCCCGCGGCCTGTGCTGCACCGACTCGATGGAAAGCCCATCCACTCCCCGCAGCAGACTGGCGCATACTAGCAGCACCGCAACAGTGTATGCATTCCTCGAACACATCCCCATCTGCATCGGAAGGTGAGAATACGTCAACACACAGTCAGTCATCAGTCCTTGTAGAGATGGCTCAATGACGGCCCCTCGAGCGAATCGCACTTACGGCGGCTTGGCGCATGCTCCACTGTCAGAAAACAGTCATATTTGCATTGCAGACTGATCCCGAGACGCAGTCTTTCTCTCGGCCCCTTTGCGCGCTTAGCTCGCATCCATTGGCTCGCATCCGACCTTCCCTGTAGATTCCCCCCCTAGCCCCGACTAGGCTGCACAGGTCATTTGCTGTGCTGCTGCTGATGCTGCTGATGCTGTTGCCGTGCTTCTGCTTTATGCTCTCGCAGGCAAGCGCGTTTGTTCCATCTTGTAGGCCGTTTGCCCCAGCTCTGCAGCCTCTCCTCTCATCAAGCAGCAGCGGCAGAGCGCTATCTGCGTTGCAGCAGACAGGCAGAGGCCAGCTGAGTGTCGCCGACCCGAAGGATGAGCCATCGACAGGCGCTGCAAGAGAGCAGGTATGGACATTGAGGCGCACGAATGAGAGATCTGACGTGCTTCTGCACTCCGATCTTGCCTCGTGTGTGTATGTGCAGGCCATCGATTTGTTGCGTTCAGTGACACAACGCCTTGAACTGTCATCGGACGACGATGCGCTGCGGTTGCTGAGTCAAATGGAGAAGTATGGCATCACGGAGCGGCTGGAGGCTCTGTACAACCAGACAGCTGGCGTGGAGCGGGGAGCCCCTGCAACGGCAGCAGCGGAGGAAGAGGAGGGCACCCTGCTGACGTCACTTTCCGACGCTCTCGGCCGGGGCCTCTCAGCGCCGGCCAGAGTGCGGGACGTGCTCAAGAGTGAGCTGACCGAGTTCGACATTCGCGTGGTCGTCCCTGCCTTCGCTGCGGCATCCCTCGTGGTGCTGGCCTTCCTCACGTCGTTTGCCCTGCTGCTGGGGTCGTCGCTGTCGACCTTCTTCGTCATCCTGAAGGCCGACATCCTGGGGCTGCTGGCCGACTACGACACGCTGCTGACCGACTACCCACTGGAGACGAAAATCATCACCACAGTGCTCTTCTTCGCGCTGGGAGGTGAGGTGGGCAGGACGGGCGGGGCGGAGGTGCAAATGGGTCCTCACTGATCGATCACTTTCATGTTTCTGACGTCTGGTGTGGTGTTATCGATCAGATGTCATCGCACAGCTTGTGGAGCAGAGCGACCGCAGGGCTCAGGTTGAGTCGGCCACTCCATTCATGCCCCTGCCATCACAGTACCAGCAGGCTGACAGCAGCAACCCGCTGCTATCGTCCTGGATGGCCGAGTCGGCCAAGGCCCAGGCTGAGATCAACTCAAAGGCGGCGGCCATCGGCCGGAAGGCCAAGGCCTGGGGGCAGTCCGTCAGCTCCCTTGACATGGAGAGGACTTTTAGGATGGGCGCCTGGGGCTTCTTTAGTGGACCCGTTGGGGACGCATGGTACCAGGTGAGAGAGTCGCTGGCCTGGGTGGTGGGAGAACTGACTGGCATTGGTGCTGTCTGTTGTGCGTTGGTTGGGTGTGTGTGTCAGTGGTTGGATGGTGCAGTGTCTACGAGGCTGAGCAGCTATGCGCCGGTGGAGAGGCTGTTTGCCAAGGTAGCGGCCGATCAGCTCTTGTGGGTGCCCATCCAGCACGCCATCTTCCTCGCGGTGCGTGTGACAATGACAACACAGATGCCTCTCTTTGACCACACATGCTCAGCTCAAGTGTTCCTGTGTCCCTATGCTGCTCAGTTGGTGACGTCGCTGGAGGTCAAGCGATTGGACTTCGATGCAATCAAGAAGGTGAGTGACACACTGACTTAAGTGCGGCAGCGATGCCTGTGACATGGGTGGCTGGGAGCCACGGACGGACCGGTCTGTCGTCGTTTGTGTGATTCAGGCGATTCGGTTGAAGTGGACGAAGATTCTGCTGGCTGGTTACCGCCTGTGGCCCTTCGTCCAGCTGCTTAACTTTTACTTAGTGCCTGTGCAGTACCGAATCATCCTGGTCCGTGACACGACCCACATGCAGACATACACATGACGCCGGACCGACACTGTTGCGCCTGTCCTGTGCTGCGAGCAGACTGATGTGGTCACCATCTTCTGGGCAAGTATCAAATCAAGGTGACAACGGCGTCAGTCACTGGGAGCAACACCATGCACACATACTGACTGCTCGGGTGTCTTTCCTTTCTACATCAGGCTGACCAACACGCAGGGCAAGACCGAAACGACACCATCGGCAGAGAACCAGCCAGCCGATGCCGAGTCATCGCCAGCAGCAGCGCCAACCGACGATGCTGCCAGCGACACAGCAGAGCGCACGAAGGACACCAAGAAAGGGAGCGAATCTCCACCACGAAAGGGTGGCGTGCTCAAGCAGTGGACCGAGGAACCATCAAGATGATGGTTGGCGTGCTGGTGCCCAATTGACGCGTATGCGGCGAGGGGGAGGAGAGGGAGGGGTGCGAGTCGAGTGTGGCATTTCTTGACGCTGACCGGCTCCTGGCTGGCCGGCTGATGTGTATTAATACTTACCTACTGGTGCGATGGGGCACCATCCATGCCATGCAGCTGTAGAGAGGGCGCTGGCGGGCTGGCTTGTGCGTGAGTGTTGATTGACTGACTGGCGGGAGCAGTCGATGCATACATACATACAACTGCGATCAAGGGCGGGGAGGCAGGGGAGGGGAGGGGAGAGGAAGTGGCGAGCGGTTCGTGTGACTGTGATCACAAAAGAGACAGACATTACACTGACTGACATGCAGATATATGGTCTGCCCCAATCTTCTAAGAGATAAGCGTCCCACCAATCACACATGTACTGAATATGTAACCTCGGCTGGCTGACCGGCATACACCACCATCAGACGGCTGGCTGACCACACACCGTCTGTCACGTGAACACACGGACACGCACACGAACTGTAATCTTTATGCTGTCGCCTCGGCTGGCTCGACGGTGACGTTCTGCGACGACCGCCGCTTGTGTCTCGCCACCCTCCCACAGCTGCCACCGTCAGGTATCACAGGCAATGGGTGGGCCTCTGCACACACACATAGACAGACAGACAAATGCCCTCCAGGATGCGACCAATATGCAGCCTTGTGTGCGTCCCTTCCTCACCTGTATTGAACACTGTCTGGTCGAGCCTGACGGTGCCTGGTGGGCTGAATGCGATAAGGCAGTACTTAAACGTCTCTGCGATCACAAACGTGTCCATCCTGTTCATCTGCCGCGGGGGCACCTGATGTGCACAAATCATACGTACAGTCAAGTGAAGTAAGAGACATGTTGGACCCAAATGTTCGTGATTGCAATTATGCACATCGAGTATGGGTCACCAAGTGCGGAAAAGCCGTGTGCCCCCTTGCCCCACTTGATTATTGCCAGGAAGATGCGCCAAGCCCAATTGCGATAGCGAATTCCCCACTCGAGAATCGCCGCCGATTCCTCTTCCTCAGTGACCGTGCTCAAGATGTACTTCTGCCCTTCCTCCCCACCACCAGTGGTCGGCCTTTGGTCATCTCGCGAGGTGAAGTAATTCGGCCTGCCCTTGAGCTCTATCATATAGGTGAGGGACTCGACCGTTTCTGGCCGCAGGAGTGTATTGGCGTCGGACATGTCGGTTTTGCATGTCGGACTCGGAGAACCTCACCGTCTCTGGGGTCAGACCTGAATCGGCAGAGAGAGACATTACACATTTGCTGAGCTCTCTGCTTTTCCCTCTTGGTGCGCACCGCTTTCGGTCCTGAAATACATGGTGACGCAAGTCTTGCACAGCTCGTCCGCCAGCCGCTCCAAGTAGGTATATCTTCCCTCGTCGATGTTGTCGCATCCTGGGGCAAAGGTGCCATTCTGGCAAGCAGACTGCGGCGGCTCGCCCGGCTGCCGGACCAGAGACGTCCTCGCCAGCAGCATCAGCACACCGGGCAGAAAGCATGTCTGTGGACAGGAGCAAACGCTCAGGGAAAATTGGACGGCCACAACTTTTGATGCATCTTCTCACCAGGTGACCCATTTTGGGGTCCTTGCTTCTGCGGTGCTCCGACACCTCGGCGACATAGACGAGTCCCCGCCGTCCGTAGTGGACCTGCCCCTCCCTGTCCCCATGTGTCTTGCTCCAGTCTGCCTGGGGCAGTGTCGGCGGTATTGTGGTGTTCGAAAGCAGCTCTGGCAGCCGGCGAAGGAATCCCAGCAGCATGGCTTGCAACAGCTCGTCTTGTTGCCCTGAGATGCACACAGACGTTGATTGACAGTGGAACCGACACAAGATTCACCTACCTGTAAGAACCCACTCCTTTGCGAGGTACTCGTAGAAGGAATCGCCTCGTGGACCCAGTGAGATTGTCCCTCTGTGCGTGCTGAGGTCGTTTGGCTTGAGCAGGACGGGCACCAGGCCATGCTTGCTCACTTGTCTGCGGCGCTCGATCAGGTCTGTCGTCGCCTCGGCTGCCTCTTGGTAGGAGCAATCCCCGGTGAAGTGGCTCAACGTCTTGAACTCGAGCTGGACTGATCCTATCTCTGAGCAGGGCAAGGAAAGGGGCACTCTTCTGGCTGTGCTGTCCTCTCCTGCGTGTCCCTTGCTATTGCTTACCTGCGAGACATGAGGTGCCGGCGAGATTGGCTGCCTTTCCGTTATCTAGAAAGACGTCAGATGTCTGCGGAACATCCACAAATCTTCCACCGTCCATCCACTCCTCGATGATAGCACCGCTATCCGACCACTGTCTTGGTGTGGCCGCTGGAGGAAACGCCTTCAGCAGCCGCCCGCCTAGCGATATCGCTTCTTCCAGTACTCGATTAACATTGTGGCCCCGACGCTTCTCCTCTTCTTCTGTCATTTCGTCCTCTTCCTTTCCAGGCAGGCTTGGTCTCAGCAGGGAGTAGATACTCCTGAAGGAGACCACCCTGCAGGCGAGTCGACACGAGAAAGGGGGAAATTGTATCCAAGAATGCGCAAATGTTCCTTCATCTCCTCTGGTTGGTACCAGCTGACGGATGGTCGTCTGACACAGCCAGACACAGACAATCAATGACATGAGTGGACGAGCATTACAACCGATTGCTCAGTCAGCATCCTTTGTGCGTGTTTGCCCATACCTCAAACACATTGACGTTGTAGTTGCGATCGAACGAAAGATGGTCCGCCACCCATTGCAATGCCCTGTCCAGTTCTTCATGCAGACCAGCATAGAAAAGAGTGTCCATTGAGTCGAGGATCATCACTCCGAAGCCGCCCCACGGGTTTTGGCCGATCCCATTGGACGGGGTCATCTCATCGCTGCCAAATGCATGCCGCTCATACTTATGCCAGAACCATCGCAGATTGCGCCGCACGAGGCCCTTGCGAATCGCACTCTCTTCCGCCAAGTAATTTGAGAAAGACACACACATATTGCTCATCAGGGGACACTGTCGGTAGTCCCTGATAGCGCTGAAGGCCTCCATCTGCAACAATGACATGGCCACCAGATCGTCCTCAGACAACAGGTCCATGAGCTGCTTGGAGCACCTTTGTGTCCGGCGGATCTCCGCAGGCGTCAACTGCCTTCTCGTCACCGTTGCCAGCTGGGGTAGGGCGACTGGGGATGGCGATGGCTCGACGGCTGGGGGTGCGGACAGGATGCTCATGTGTGTGAATGGCAGCCGATTGCGCAGCAGGAAGCGGGGGAACCTGGGCGGATTCGCCTTCTCCTCAGCCTGGCCGCCGTGCAGATAGGATGAGAGATCTAGGATCACCAGGAGCATTGTCGTCACCAAGAGCGTCAGACACAGTAATCTGGCCAGGCTCCAGCGCCTCTTGGTGTTGGTCGCCTTGATAATGTGCGGCAGAGGGAGCAGCAGCTCCTCGGTTGCTGCGGGGTGGCCATTGCGGCGCTTCAGCTGCCTGCAGGGTGCAGATTGCTCCACGCACGTGGCAGCTGACGCATCGGTGGGGATTGGTCTTGGGATAGGTCCCAATATCAGGCGTCGAATGGCGCAGCGGATGTTCATTTTTAAGAAAGGCGTCACCCCCGTTTACAAGAGACAGTAAATATTAAGTGCGTTGCTCGGCTTACTGTACAGCACTGCATGTACCGTCCAATGCAACACACATGAAATCGATCAGCCGTAGCAGCAGCAGCCAAAAGACACCCGCGGTGAACCGACACAATTTCATGCAGAAAGGGGAACCACGGAACCACTCGGCTACTTTTTCTTCTTGCCCTTCTTGCCCTTCTTCAGGCTCTTCTTGGCCTTGATATACGCCTCCCTCTCCTTGATGCCTGCATGAATGGAACATGGGCACACACACACCGGCACAATCTCGTGGGGGCGATCCGCATGCATGTCTCCTTGCTGCTTCTCACCTCTGAAGTACGCCTGGATGAGTGACGCCGCGTCGTGCTTTTGCTGACTCTGTGCTCCCAGCATCTGCAGCGGGAGAAGGGGAAAGTTACACAGACAGACAGACATGCCTGGCAGGTCTATATGTACTCCTCACCGTGTCTCGCGCCTTTGCGATTTCCTCCTCCTGCCTTATCCTCTCATTCTCAGCATCCACCTGCATCGCCCAACAGTTGTGCAGCGGACCTGGAGGTGTGCATCCATTCATACCTTCCTGAAGTGGTCTCTCAGCTCTTTCAGTCTCTTCCTCTCCTCTGTGAGCGACTCGTGTGTGTTGTCGAGCGTGGTCGTCTTGTCGGTCATGTCTCTGTCGTAGTCGGCGATGAGCCGCTCCACATCCTTCTCGGCGATTTTCTTCCGCTTCCGCAGTCCTTCCTCCTCCTCTTTAGACGTCTTCTTCAAATTCTGACAAGAATATTTATCAGCGAGCCACATGGCATCATGTATAGGCGCGCTCTATGGATGACTGACCCACCAGGTTGGCTTGTTTGAGCTCCGCAATGGCCTTCTGCAGCTCCTCTTCCTACATCGATCGCATCAAGGAGCGAATGGGTCTGCCAGTCGGCTTAGGGAAAGCCCATAGGCCGTTGAAATTACCTTTCTTTTGTAGTTTTCCCTGTGTTCGGCTTCCCGTGTGTCGAACCTCTCCTGGTGCTGCCTCAGCTTGAGCTTGGTGGTGTCCTGCACATCCTGCAGGTCAGCCTTCAACTTCAATATGATCTGCACACAACATGCCAAGCGAGAGGCCTTGCGTCCGCCAATGTCTCGCGGCAGGCACGGGGCCATCGCTTTACCTCACTTCTGCTGGATGCAGCCTTTTCCCTCTCCCGTCTGATATGCGCCAGCTCCTTCTCCAGCTGCGCCTTCCGCCGCGACGCCGCCTCTTCCTACACGGAGAGGGACACAAGCAATGGACGGCAGTGCATGCCAATGGACGGCAGTACATGTCAGCTGATCTGATCCCCCACTGTGCCCCCTGTGATGCCTCGCTTACCCTTTGAATGTAGTGCTCCAGGAGTTCCTGTTTCGATCGCTCCTCTTCCACTGTGGTGGTCAGACGCTTCAGCATCACCTCCTGCAGTTAACGCCACGACAGAACACAACACAACAAAGGCGCCCCATTTGACGGTTGCTGTGCGGCCGATGCATTCCATTCATGGGTCACCTGCATTTCTGCAATAGTGTAGATGAGCTTCATGGCGTTGATGGGCCGCTGCTCCTGGAAATTCTGCACAACCAACAACAAGCAGCAGCGGCTGTGAGGGCATCGATGTCGATGTGTGCTCTCTTTCTCTCCTTTGGCTCACTCTGTTGGCTCACTCTGAGTTCCTGGACGACATTGGGTATGTCCCTCATCCTCCTGCACAGGTCCCTCGTGTTTCTCTGCAGCTTCTCCATTGTCTCACGCACATCCTCATTGTCAAGGGCCAGCTGAAACACACCTGCCGAGCCAGACACACACGCACACACACACACACACACACAGAGCAGCAGCAGCATTCTGCGCAGGTATATGTGGATGTGTGTAAGAACGCACCTTCGGATGTAGTGTTGGCGGCCTGGTACAGCTCCTCTAGTCGAATCTGCTCAGCGAATCGCTTCATGATTTCAGGACCGAGCATCTGCACTGCAGACTCGCCTTCCTCCGACTGCAGGCCCTCGAGCACCTGGGGCGTGATGACCGACAGGTACGTCAGCTTCTCCTTGGTCTCATCCATGATCCTGAGCAGGGAGCACCCAAAGAGCCAATCCATCCATTGGACGGGAGATGAGAAGAGAAGTGAATGGATGGATTCCAGGTATGGGATACTTACGCCAAGACGCGCTGCGCGTCCAAGTTAGTGGGCTTGGGAGGCATCGCTGCGACTTGTGCGTCCAAGACGTCTACTTTTGGCCTGGGGGCGGGTTGGGCGATCTGCAAGCTTAGCGGCGTCTCGCCGTCAGAAGAGGACAGTATTGAGAGGAAGGGGTCACATCCACTGTTGACAAGATGCAGTCAAGTCATGCAGTGAGAACAGCTAGCTAGATGCAGTGAGAGAACAAACAAGTGTGCACAAATAAATACACGGCACGACACACCCATGCAATGCAATGGCCAACACAACATCATGATGGCCGCACACATGCGAGGAGTGCGTACAAACAAAGAAACACACACATCTCACTCACTGCACACGCGGATGGAACTGCTTGAGCACTTCCTGGGCAGGGATGCTCTTGCCAGAGATCGCCGCGAATTTGTCCAAAAGGCATTTCTTCTGGTTCTCCAGCTCGTCGACCCGGGCCGACGCCCGCATGAGTGCCCTTGTAACCTCCTGTATCTGGCTGTCCCGCCCCATGAGCACCTGCTTCATGGCCTGCACTTCCTGCCGCGCATCCTGCACCTCCCTCTGCGCCTCGCTGATGGAGCCCTTGCCGTCCAGGTACGACGAGTGCATCGACTCGCGGGATGCAAACAGCCGGGTGATGAGCTGCTGCTTCTTCTTGAGCTCTTCTCGCAGATAGACGTTGGCTGACCGCTGACGAGACGACCAACACAAGGGGCACTCGGGGTGGTACGTACTGGCTTGAGCGGTGTAAGTTGTGTTGGGTGGTACCTCTTGCTTGAGTGCCTCGTTGAGCTCCGTGACACCCTCCTCCAGTTTGCCGCACTTTCTCTCGTTCTCCTGGTTGTTCTTGATTTGCTCACTGGACACACACACACACAGACATCAATGGGCATGCGCGTTTTCCAGCCCCCAAGCCATTCCGTTTCGCCCATGCCATGGGTATCTTACCGGTACATGTTGGAGAGGAGGGCCGAGTCTGCCTTGGTCTTCTCGAGTGTCTTTCTGGCCGTCTCGAGCTCTCGCTCAAGCTGGTCCTGGATGACGGCGCTGCCCCTGGCTGCTGCACTGCTGGCCAGGCTGATGGCAGTTGGGGCGGCCACGGGGTGGGCCACTGCCGACCGCTGCTCCTCCGCCTCATGCAGAGACCTCTTCAGTTCCTGATTCCTGCACACGAGCAAACAGACAGACAGACAGACAGGTGAGGTGAATGCGGGCAGCACAGCTTAGTGCGTGCCTGGTGCGCGTTTGTCATACTTGATTTCAAGCTGGTTGGCCTTGGTCTCCCACTCACTCTTCTCGATCTGAAGTCTGGGGGAGGGGACGCAGTGCCACGGATGTACCCAGCCATGTGTGCTGTCTGCTGTGGACCAGCTCTCTCACTTTGAGATGAGTTCTGCCTGGCTCTTGGTCTTGGCAGTGAGGTTCTGGATCAGCTCGGTTGTCGGCGTGTACTTCACGCTCTGCAAACCGATTACAGAGCTACCAAGGTTGACTGTGCCATTCATAACCCACCGAACCATACCTACCTACCTTCAGCTGATTGATCTCGCCCTCCAGAGTGATGGTCTTCTTCCACATGGCGGTAAGCTCCCGCCGCAGGTCGCACTGCTGCATCTCCTGCTGTGCCGACTTGCCGTCGCGTGTCGGCGCCTCGATGATGACCATCTCGTTGCCAGCGGCATAGTTCCGCACCGCCCCGTCCAGCATGTCGATCTCCTTGGAGAGCTCAATCAACCGCACAGATGCCACCGGCGTGGCTGTGGGAGTGGCGAGGAGGGAGGGGTGGGTGTAGGGGCCGGGAGAGGGCACAATGGCTGGCAAGGGGGGCCGGTCGGGGATGACCCCGCTCTTGGCCTGCACGGCAAACGGACAGCCGGAGATGAGATGGCCCGTGGGCGTTTGGGGCTGTGATTGGGTCTCACTTGGAAGTCAATGATAAGGTTGTAGACTTCGGCGATGCCTGAGATGAAGACACGGACATAGACGCACCGACAGACAACCCACAATCCATTCCAGATGCCGTGCAGTCACTCACTTGGTGTGCGCCTTACTGACCCCCTGCCGAGTACTTGCGCCTGATGCCGATATCCATCATGCAGACGGCACACCGATAGAGAATGGCATAGAGGAACTGATAGAGCACCGCCTCCCTCAGGTTGAGGAGGGTCAGGAGGGGCTCCAGCAGCTGACCGGCCGCCTCCTCGCCCGAGGCCCCGCTCCGCCCTGCCAGGAACGAGTAGTTGATGGTGTACCCACTGACCCGCTTCACTGTCTGCTCGAGCGTGTGCAATGGCGGGTTCCGGGTCGAAGAGTTGAACACCAGCTCATCGTCCACAATGGAACCGAGCCCCTGACCAGAGCAGGCACACGAAATTCATTCATCAGAGTCAGTCAGTCAGTGTGCAATGCAATGCGTGTCACGAGCGAGGCCCGTCAGTCAGTCACGTCGGTCACTTGTAGGAGTTGCAGAAGGTCGTTTTTGAGCGTCTCAATGATGTGAATGAAGTGGTCGCGGAAGCCAGGAGTGCGCTTGGTCCTCTCCATCGCTGCACCTGCACTGCTGACACTGCAGTCAGTACTGTAACACACACAAGAGGACGATGGCTGAGCCAGTCCTTCTCGTCATTCATAAAACGTGCTCACGGACTGTACCAGCAGGCTTTCTCTCCTTCACAAGGCTCCTTTCTTTTTCACCTTGAGCTTCCGACTTCAGGCGATAAGCTCGCAGGTGATGTTGGATTTTTTTCATCGTTGACAGCTCCATCGACGGCACAAGCCGCTGCCTCGAAAGCGTTTGCCGTCTGTCTATTCACATTAGTCATCATGAGACCCCGTTCGTTCGTATCCACACGTACGTACACATGAATGAACGTGTGACGACTCACGTGAGTCGCCATAACGTACTTACGCTCAGCTCATGCATCCATCCCATCAGTCAGTCAGTCAGTCAGCATGCTTTGCCTTGCCTTGCCTTGCTCGTCGGCATTGCATCTATCCACACATGCAAATGAATGAATGAATCCTGCCTGGTCGCCACGAGTCGTTCGTGAGTGAGTGAGTCGCCATAACGCTCATGCATCCATCAGTTACACACGTGGCCGTATGTCGGGATACTGAGACACACACGCACACACACAGCCCTCCCTTCCCTCCCCTATCCTCTTCCCATCATAGTCGTCATGACGAGCAAGTCCCTCGCTGATCGATTGCTGGCGGCTTGCCTTGCCTGTTTGGGTGTGGTGTGCCATCCATGTATGGCGGCGACGCTCTCGATCGATGAGCATTGATGCCGATGGTCTTTCATGCGAGAGGGGAAATCGTGGGGGCTGAACGAACAGAATGTCAGGCAGGCACCAGACCCGACTCCTGCACACCCCCAACATACACACACATGGAAGGAAGACACACACATCCATCGATATGCCCACCACCGTGCCTGTCCCTCCCCCTCTGTCCATGCACTCACTCACGGTGAGTGAATGGCATGTCTTCGTGTGTGTGGCTCGGCTGAGGATGGATGCCATTCTTCCCATGGCGCGACGAGAACTTGTCGCCGACAATGGGATTACGTTTGCACCTCAGCTTGAGCAGCACCCTTCTTGCCGACCTGTGAGATCTGCTTACGGTATGCGGCCACGTCAGGTTGGCTGATGCGGTTGGTTGATGCGCTCCACGAAGGCGTCCTCCTCGTCGTTGTAGTAGGACGTCTTGGCCACACGATGGAGTCGCTGAGTGCTCAATCCTGCACCATGTCAGAGAGAGAGAGAGAGAGAGAGAGGGACGAATGGTTGGTGTCTGTGTCGATGTGCGTATGTGTGGTCTTTCTTGTTGACGTGCCGGCAGAGGGGTGAGCCTTCGGTGACTTTGGAGCCGATGAAGGGCAGCCCGTCCTTGTCTAGAGAGGTGACGGCCATCGTGTGTGTGCTACCGACCGACCAGAAAATCGTTGCGATCTGTGCGATTTTCTCAATCGATGCACCGGGGATGGCCTGCACAGCACAGCACAGCACAGCACAGCACACACACGAATGCGCACATCTCTCCCTCCTTCCCTGCTTGTGAGTGAGTGAGTGCATGTGGTGTGGACCCGCCGTGTCGCCTCGCCGAGCTCACCTCCCTGAGTTGCAGTGCGAGCATGCTCTTGAGGCGCCTGGTGGCGGCCGTGGGTGTGGATGTGACCTGCACGTGCCGCATTCGTCGCACACGGGGCTGCTTCGCCTCCCATTCCTCCATCCTGCAGGCAGGCAAGCGCCGCCCGCAACCAACACACACGCTCACGTGTATGTATGTTGGTTGCAATGCATGTGAGTGCGTTGCTGACTCGACGAGGTCCATTGTTTGCCACGTTGGAAGCTTCACGGGAAGAGTCTGACATGAGAGACGGACAGACAGAAGGAGGAGGAGCGTACACGCACCTCTCCATTCAGTTACGATAAGACAGACAGGCCAGGTGCGGTGCGCACCGTTTTGATTTCCTGCAGGCCGGTCTCCCGGGGAAACACGTCACACTGCACACGCAACACAACACAACACACCAAGACGGCAGGCACCAAACATCAACATCCTTTGGAGGGACATCACATCCTTTGGTCTGTGTGTTCGTGCGTGTTGGTGGGTGTGCTATCTTCCCACCCTATCGGTCACTGTCGTCTGCGGTCGCCATCCATGTGGACAAGTAAGTAGTGAGTGACACACATAGACAAACAGACAGACAGACAACCGGCTGACTGATGCATGCGTTAAAAGCCGAATGTGTGTGTGTGTGTGTGTGTGTGGGCTTGCTTACGGTCTGTATTGGAGGTGGTGCTGGATGAGCCGATTTGCCACCTTGGCGGTGGTGGGTGGTCGAGTCGGACTGGGGGCCATCCCTAGCTCCCATACCTTGAAAATCTCGTACTCCTCCAGCCGCTCCTCATAGGACAGGAGGGGAGGGGGAGGCGCGTCTCGGCATGTCAGCCTGCGGTTGGGAGCGGGCGGCGCGTTGGGGTCTCTCTGGAGGATCGTGACCCCGCCGTACACCGGCTTGGCACCGCCGCCCCCTGGGTTGCCGACTGGTGGACTCGCCGCCGCACAGCTCCCCTTCGGCACCCACTTCTGCCGCCCCTTGGTCCCAGCCTGAGAGGGTGCCGCAGCGTCGCCTTGCTCTTTGCGCACCTCCTTGGCTACAGCG